TCGTCTTCGTGGGCGGGGGAGTCGTTGGTGGGCGGTGGGCGTTGGACGTCGTTGGTGGTGGCCGTTGTTCATGGGCGGTGGACATCGTTTTCGTGGGCGGGGACGTCGTTTGCGGTCGCTGGACGTCCGTGGGCGGTCGTTTTCGTGGGCGCTGGTCGTCGTTGGCGTGGGGTCGTTGACGTTGGTGGGCGCTCGTTTTCGTTGGTGGGCGCTCGTGGTGGTGGGCGCTCGTGGTGGTGGGCGCTCGTTGACGTTGGTGTGGTGTGTTGGTGGGCTGTTCGTGGTGGTGGGTCCTCGTGGCCGAGCAGATACGGCGAACGACGACCGATGTCGTCGTTCGCCATCTGGTTGCCACGTCGCGACGTGGCACCTGTGGTTTGTGTTAAAAAGGAGAGTGGGTGGGGTGATTGTTCCCACTTACCTGGGCTGGGCCCTCGTCACGCGTCGTCAGCGTCAGCGTCGTCCTCGCCGTCGTTGTCGATGTCGCGGGCGGTCGTGGTTTGAAACGGTGGTGGTGGATGGTGATGGTGGTGGAAGGAAGGAAGGAACGACGTGGCAACGCTTCAGCCACAGCTGTCACGTTTGACGCGGCACGTGCCTAAAAGCGGTATATATATACCTTTAGTTTCTCATATAATAATGCCTTCATGGCTCAGTCGGCTTGAGCACTGCTTACATTCACGAGGTTGAGAGTTCAATTCCTTGAGATGCAAAAAACTATTTTACTTAAATATAGTAAGGACACTGTATTCTAATGGTATAATAGTCATTAATTCCTTCCATGGACTCCATATGGACTGCTCCATGGAATCCATGTGGATATGCCTGCATTCCATATGGAATCTGATGGAATCCATATGGAATGGTGTTGGAGTCCATATGGAATTAATCATTCCATGACCATTCCAGCATCATTCCATATGGAATCCATGATGTCCAGGGAATCAGAAACTGGCTGTGTCCTCAGCCAACATTGATTCCATGGATTCCATATGGATTATACCGGGGAAGGTAAAGACCTCGTCATGAGCACAATGCTATCAACAACAAGAATGTATTTCACCGAGGTTTTGACGCTACTGGAATTGGAGCCATTGCTTGCCTTCGACATGGCACCTTTTGTCCGGGTTCGGTGGTAGATTTTCAAAAGGGAGAAAGGTATGGAAGTTATCCTGAGGTTGAATCGTTGTTTTACCGAACAGGCAAATGAACATGGACTATGCCTTGTGCCAGGCTCTGAAGAATACCATGACCGGTGAAGAAAAAAGGGTTATTTTTGTCTATGACATCAACTGCCAGTATATGGTGAATTTGATGGCTCGGATAAAACGTGGTGCGAAACACCTCTGGATCAGACCAGACTTGTTATTGGTAGCCGGGATCGGCTTATTCCATGTCCATGGCCATCAAGAAATATGCTTTCCACGATTTGCCCCAACATTCATCCCCGGGGCCGGTCAAACAGATGGAGAGATATTGGAGACTTTGTGGGCTGTTCTCAACGAGGTCGGTCGCACCACCCGGACAATGACTTTGGCCCATAGATCGGAGGTGTTGGATGCTCACATGCTGGATAATAACT